AATTATCCTCTTTAAAGATGAAAAGTGTGTAATGTTAAAATGCCACAGAATTTGTTCTTTTAATGTGGTAATAATAAATAAATGCACTAATAATAAATAAATAAATAAATGAATGAACGTTTATAAATGTATAATTTAATAATTAATGTATAATTTAATAATTAATGTATATTCATTAATTAAATTTTGTTACATATATTTAGATACTTAAACATTTTTATACTATAAATAGTATAAAAATAAAAGTATATATATATTCAGATAATATATATATATTAGTGCTGTGTTCAAAATATTGATACGACGATGTATCGTCACAGAGATTTGACGATATGAGTATCAATACAGCTGGCCCTGTATCGATATTGTGTCACGTGTGCAGCAGTGGACCGCGCTTAATTTGTTAAATTTTACAACGTTTAAAATTGAGCAGAAAAGTGCTAGGTTTCTAAAAAAGAATGAATAGAGCATATATAGGCTACAACCAGGTTTAATCTGGCCGCAGAGGAACACAACTGGGTTGCCTGATATAAAGAGACGTAATCCCCGAAACAGAGCTTCACACTTGCGCAATACAGAAATATCTGCTAAGTGTGTTACTTATCTTTATCAACCTGGCAACCATGTGCACACGCGCTCTCTCCACTGTGGATAAAAGCTAAAAATGTTGTGCACACCGCCACGCGAAACGACGTCGCGCGAACTTCCGCCAACATCGCGATGACGTCATATTTGCCGCACGCACCTATGTTGTTATTGTTCTTGTTATGCAATAAAAAATTTTAAAAACTTGCAGACGCGTCGAGTATAAATCAGCCTTGAGCGTGTGTGCGTTAGATACAGTGAAGAATTTTTTTTTTTATTGTAGAGAGTGGGTTAATTTGTGCAATGATAACCTACCAGCAATTATTATAATTTTTTTAATATATTAGAATGAGTACATTACAATATAAATTTATTAGAACAAGTACATTATTATTTATGAGCTTAAAAACAAGATTCAATAAGAATATTGTACCTAGAGAGGAATGCACAATGTAAACATGAAACATATTCCATTACCTGTATTGTACTGTGGTACAGTTATGGAGGCCCTTCATAATGCAGAGGTCAACCGCCTGCTCTGCCAATAGTTAGAAATGGCACTATAGTAAGCAGTGTTTAATAAACAGCTGTTTTTCTAAATTCTGTTGAGGTGAAATTCAGTGCAGTCATGTATTGTGATACGTATCGTATCGTGGCCTCTGTATCGTGATAT